GGGGGGGGGGGGGGGGTCGCGACGGTACGGAATGCGGGAAGATGAAGAGACACATGCCCTCCCCGCCCGGTCGTTTCACGTAATAATGTAGTAGCATATCGACCGAGACTTACAAACTCCTCAAGTGTATTCTAAATCGTGCAGATAGCGTGGGCAATAAGAACACTATTATGGAGCAATCGAAGGGCGTTCGGAAACTCACTCGCATGCGGTTTCGAAGCAAGCCTCCTCGAGAACAGAGCAAAACAACCCAAAGGAACGTGTGCGTCACACTGCCATGTATGTGGTGCATGCTAAACAGGGTGCGGGCGGGGAGCTTTCGAGCGACTGGTTTCAAGACAATCCGCCAATTGTTTTTAGTCACTGCTTCACGCTATAGGGGGACTCCAGCGCGGGGACCACCAAAGAAGTCAACGTGGAACCCTACCAGGCGATATACTTCGAGTTTACCTTTTTGGGGAAAGTTAGCCTGCGACCACGGGAATCGACCGCGTCAGGCGATGGGTTAGTACGGACAGATGAAGGTGCTGGATAGAGTTCTGTGAAGACAGCAACAACAACAACAACAACAACTTCTTCAGAAGGGATACCGTGTTCTGGTTCAAAACCCAGCTAGAGGAGCCGGAGAGGATCGGACTGGCCTGCGAGAAGGGGGCCTGGCCTTCCTCGACGCCGCCCCAAAAATTGTCAAGTTAGTTCGACGAAGAGAAGGTACCACAGCAGGAGAACGACATGGAAATCGATTAACACAGGGGGGAACCGAGCTGCCCGGAGATCTTGAAAAGGTTGCTGGACAGCTATTTTTTCTACATCTCCGGGCAGCTCGGTTCCCCCCTGCGTTGATCGATTTCCATATCGTTCTCCTGCTGTGGTACCTTCTTCGATTCGTCCAACTAACTCCTTGACATTTTTCTGGGCGGCGTCGAGGAAGGCCAGGCCCCCTTCTCGCAGGCAAGTGTGATCCTCTCCGGCTCCTCTTGATAGGCCTTGAACACGATCTCCAGGTCCTCAAGGGAGACACGCGCACAGTGAGTGGGGCGTGAAGGTTCTGACGGGAGGTCTGCCGAAATGTGATCAACCCCCGCCCTTCTACTACTGTACTTGAGGCTGCCGTACGGAACGTGCCGCCAACATAAAAACATGAAACATTTAAGGCATCGAGTAGTACAGCAGTAGCCTACAATAGTCTTACGTTACGTATGTCGCGCGTACGCAAATGCTGCTGCGGTGTGTAGACTTTCCCCATGCATACCTCTACGGAGATCGCTTTGGCCAACAAGACTTTCTCCGGTCTTCCCTCCCGCCTGATTGATCAACACCTAGGCGGTCAACATCTCATAAAAATCGGCGTGCTTCATCGACGTTGCTGTGGGCTGCCCCACACAGGATCCGCCAACTTCCTGCCTTCCTATCTGATCCTCAACTGGTAGGCAGGGTCAAGACTGCAATACAACAGAGAAGACACAGTTTGGTATCCTCACGCCGTGACGCCTGAACAAAAAAAAAGCACCTCATCGACCCCGCTTGCTGGTTGAGCGCATTGATGGCCGCTTCCTCGTCCGCCACTGTCTTCGGCCCCGACGCGTTGCCCTGACGAAAAAAAAAAATCAGAGCAGAGTCCGTCCCACCGGCCACACACGACGCGCGACGAAAGGCTTACTATACATTTACAGTCTTGACGTCACAAAGACGGACGATTGCTGTAGTTGATATCAACGCCGGATCCACCAAACGAAGATGATTGGTTGCGTTCCTCGTCCATCGCCGTCTTCGGCCCTAGAAAAAAAAACGCATCCCACCCACCACACAGCAGGGCACAAGGAGATTGTGCGGTTGTTGTTGTGCCGTTCCGGTCTCTACTCAGTACCTTCTACCATCGGTATTGGTCTATCCAACTGACGCTGACGGGACGCTTTCCATGGTCACAAGATTGCGATAAAAAGAACGAAGCGATCTATGTACTGCGTGTCAAACGCAGAAGCAACAAACCTGAGGTTAATCAAATCTCGTACGGTTATTAAGTCTAACCTGCGACTGAATGAACATCTTCCCAAAACGAACATGAAGCCAGGTACAAGAAACCAAGCCACTGTTCAGCAACACCACCACACACATTGCTGGCTCCTCCAGCACCAGCGGCTCCGGGGCCACTCCCGGAAGCTGCTCCTGACCCGCCATCTCCCGCGGAAGCAGAGCTACGGTAAGTTCCATGGACAGAAACGGTAAACGGAAGGGGCGGGGG